TTTTTTTTTTTTTGGTGGGTTTTTTTGGGTTTTTTTGGTAAATTTGTTAAGGAAAACACTGAAGGAAATTGAACAATATTATAAATATGTGTTAGCCATTGTCATATCAATTTTTGTACCCTACAAATGTTACATGCTATCAATCAATAAAATACATTTCAATGTTATTTACCATCATTATTATTGCTCTTTCACTGCTTTGCTGCAAAATGCCCCACTTTTTTTTACTTTAAGCTAGATGTTATTTGAATATTCCAAGATTTATAGAAATATTATCTTATCAATGGATCATCTCATAAAACTATTTTTACTACTTAAACCGCTTAAAAATAAGCTTAGTGGATATTATACTACCCTTGAGCATACACTTTCCCTCAACCCAGAAGTTTCGTGTGCAGTACAAAAGAAAAAAAAAGTGGGGCATTTTGCAGCAAAGCAGTGAAAGAGCAATAATAATGATGGTAAATAACATTGAAATGTATTTTATTGATTGATAGCATGTAACATTTGTAGGGTACAAAAATTGATATGACAATGGCTAACACATATTTATAATATTGTTCAATTTCCTTCAGTGTTTTCCTTAACAAATTTACCAAAAAAACCCAAAAAAACCCACCAAAAAAAAAAAAAACCCCAAACCCCAAGAGGTAAGCAAAAGCTTAAGTAATTTGACTCCATTGAATGCTTTCAGTAAACAATAGGTTTCCCCAGAAAACAGCTTATTGCCTTAATTGAACCTCTTCGAGAAAGAAAACCACATACTTTGTAATGTAAATGTTAATTGTAGTAGACAATGGCTCTAGGTAAATAGCACCCCTGGACATGCAGTAAATGAAAGGCACACAGGCACTTAACAATGAAAGGTTGTTCGCACAAACAGTGCTTTAAATGTAAATAAACAAGGGTCTTCTTAGCGGTCACTACCAGTAGTAAAACTTTGGCACGTGTACAGCAGCCAGAGTGGGAATTTATGTAAATAAAGTCTGGCTGAACTTCTAGATGAAACTAAGTGCAAAAGCTACTAAGGAACCTCTTGAAACCTAGAATTATGCGCAGAATTTTACAGCTCCAGATGTGTGATTACTTTGAGGACAAATCCTGCATTTTAAATAAAGATATGCCCAGCAAGTCTCCTATTTCTGCAACTGTT